AGAATATTTTTCTCTCACACATTTCTTTTTATTGCTTTTCTTTGTCTACAAATTTCATTTAGCTTGTTTTAAAATCATTATTATTTTTATTATTGATTAGTTATAGATAATTCTTAATAGATTATCAGAATAATGAGCTGCATCAAGTAATCTATTTTATCATTTCAGTTAATGAATTATTATATATGATTTTCTTTACTTTTTAAGCAGCACTTTTAGGTTTTATTTGGATAATTTTTTTACTGCTTTCTAAAATAATTTTTAGTATAAAAATTTTAATTCAAAATTTTTTTTTACTAAAAAGTTGCCTTAGAAAGCATGAAAGAAGCTGTCCAAATGAAGCCTTATAAGATAACTTTCATGATTTCACATATTTATTTGAGAATAGATGTCATTAAAGGGTTTGGATTTTAGCGATAAGGCGTGTTAGGATTAGGGAGGATAGAAAAGGAAGCTCTTGTATGTAAAGATTAGATGAGCTATAGGAATTGCAAGCTTAGAAGGCTCATTGCTCTCAAATTTTTTTTAATCTTCTTTTATTAGTAGTTGAAGTTGTGTGCAATCTTAAAATATAACCCATATGTATATGTCAGTTCTATTAGATTCAAAATAATTTATGATTAATAAAATTTGATGACATCTTATAATTCTTATATGTTAGTAAATATGATATGTGCCTGCAAAGACAATAGAGATGAATTCTTATAATTTATTAGACTTTTGATTCAAATTGTGAGACTGATGTGATATGATCATGTGTTGAGCTCATCCTCTGATCTCTTATTTATAATTTAGATCATTATTTGCAAAAAAATGATTATATTCAAGTAATACTAATAATAATGTTCATTTCACCAAATAGAAGGAATAAATAAAAGAAGCATATATGCAACACCACTTCCTCTAAACCATCTGATATTAATAGACTAGATGATCTCCATTGCTCATACACCATCAAATAATTGTATTTTAACATTCTTCATACTATGAGTAGCCTTTTGCTTCCATATAAACCTTGTACTCTAGAACCTTGGGTTTAGAATGAAAAAATCGAAAAAAAACTTTTGTAGTCTTCACTCTTCCTCTTTATCGTTCTTCTCCTCCTTTATTCATTATATGGCTTTTGAATTTCAAGCTATCTTTGATCTCATTTCATTTTATGGTATCAGAGCTTTTGTGTAACTAAATTGAATCCCACCTAATAGAAGAATCAATAACCTCCTTACTGAATGATGGCTTCTCCTCTCTGCATATTAATGACTCCATTATGCCATCAACTCTCAATTTTCTCATGTCCAACAATAAACATATAGTCAGCATTCAACTCACCATGATAACTACCCAATGTGACAACCACAAATCCTTAAGATCATCAAGGCTAACAAATTTGAAGGATTTCTTAATGTGTCCATTCCATTGTAGATGATTCAACTAGTTAAAACAAATCTTTCCTAAGCCACCTAGATGCTTATTAACCAAATTTTTTCATACCCCTCTACTCCACCATGATACCTATCCTACACTCCTAACCCATACTTTTTATGGTAGTGTATAACCTTTTGGTGAAATTAAATGCAAGATAATACTACGTAATTTTATTTTAATATCTAAGGGTGTTATCTAGAGTTTATGGTCAAATTTTGAGGGGAGTATACATATTTAGTGGTAGTCCATACAAGTCAGCATTGGGCTAGTTTGGGTTGATTTGGAATTTTTTTCTTTTTTTAGAAAATGATTTTTTTGGTGGGTAGAATGGATAGAAATGATGTTTGATGGTTAGCATACGATGTAGACTAATGATATGGACTAGTTGGTAATACTTAGTGGAGTTTAAGTGGGTGTTGAGTGGTATGGAGTAATATTAGGTCCTAGTCATACTTAATTTGATTGAGAGCTATAGACCGGGTTTTGGATTGGTGGTGAAGCTTGGGTGGGTGGTGCTTATTCTTGGGGGATGATTACACTGCAAGGGACATGTGAAAAAGATTGAGAGCAAGTGCTAAGAGAAGATGAATAAAAATTTAATATATAAAAAAGATAGTCACATAATCTCATCAAAAAAGGCATACACTTGAAGTCTCTAAAACCAAAGCAAATAAAGAGCACTTCTCTTCAAAAAATATTCCATTTAAAAAACTAAAACTTTTAATACATATCAACCCATATTCATAGGCATTAGAAGACTCTTAGGAGTTCAAACAATCTATTTTTAAATGTCTTATCCACACCAGATTATAACATGGTTGGCTACATATGTCCCTGGTGAAAAATAAAAATTATATTTACATTATTTTAAATTATGGGCTATTTCTAGGTTTTTAATTGAGCCCTTTTTTATATGTTTCATGAGCGCTATCTTTAAATCTTGTAATTGAGCTTTTACTTGATTATAATTTCTCATATGGTGTGCTACATCAGCTCCTACGGGCTTAGTTAAACTCTACTACATAGAGTTAAAATAAAATTAGTCTTTTATTAATTGTAGAGTTAAATTTTCTAAATTAGTATAGATCAACATGTATTACACAACAACAACAACAACATCAAGCCTTTGTCCCACTATGTGAGGTCAGCTGTCAACAAGTATTATCAATAGGTAATTTGATCTTCCGATCCAATGAACTAAAAAGTGATGTTTAGTGGCCGGATCAATGGGTGCTTTCTCAATGATGCAAGGACAATCACTTATAAGACATTAGGTAATTTTTTACACGTTTAAGACATGACAAACATGTTGCACGTCGCCAACATGTACCAGACATATCATCTACAAGTTTAACAAAAAGATTAAAAAAAATATCGCACACACATGTTCACCATGTTTAACAACTCAACTATCCTCTCTATACGTGCCAATTGTTATTTCTTTAATTTTGTAACACATAATATTTACGTAACGTAGGTGACCCCTTTTTTTCTTCATTTTTTGCATCCTTAATTATCATGATTTTTTATATATTATGATTTTGGGATTTTATGATTATTTAACTTGTATAATTATTATTTAATTATTTTAATTCTTCAAATATAAAAATTATAAATGCCATATTAGAAGTTTTTGTCCCTTCTAATTTTAATAATAAATATGTCTTATATGTTTGTTATATTACAAATGTATTCTTATATTGGTATTCATACATCATAGATTTTAATATATTACATATTTAAAAAATCATGTCATTAATTAGGAAGGTAGTCTTTTATAAATATATTTGATTGCACAAGCACATATATTATAGATAATATGGGAGATTCCATTAAATTTTTAATAATTGCTTGATAAATGTGACTTGACACCAACTCAACATATCCGGCCCATCCATTTCTAAATTCCGGCGCACAAAAGCGCGCCTGAAGCATATGTTTTTCGTGTGTGGCAAAGCCCAGTTTATTGGGCCGACACCTGTTGCCGACTTCAAGCCGGCCCATTTCCACGAAACGCGCCGGGTCGGCTGATCCGAATCGAACCGGAAGTACACTGTACTATGAGCTAAGCGCTGAACCGACCAACCGCGTAAGAATACAGCTAGCGGTCGCCGTCCTCCGCGAGGCCTGCTTTGTCGGCCTCATCGCCGTCAGAAAGCTTAAGGATGACAAAAACCGGGCCGAAATCCGGATTAAAAAATATACATATAATAACTATTTTTCCTCTTTATTCAGGAAGACAAAAACCGACTCAGCAATTTGTATTATTTTCAAAATATTTTATGGAGAAGCTAACTGCTTTCTCTTTCAAATTTACTTTAAAAATAAAATTTAATAAAAACATGTGAGAATATAATAATTAGAAATTATAAAATTATTAAATTCATTTTAAAATTAATTGAATAATTATGTTCTATTTCAGTATTTCTATACTCATCACCGAATATTATAAAAAAATATAATCAAAACTTAATTGGAATATTTAATAAAAATGCCTTGAAACTTGTTCTTCTTGGAAGTACAAAATTGCTCTTTACTTTTTACCAAAATATTTTATAGTATAAATAATTATTTAGAATCTTTACTTATCTAATAAAATAAAAAGGCCTAGCATTTATTATAATACTATAATAATTTAAAATACATTCAATGTTGTGCTTAGAAAAAGGTTATATTAATAGATACTTTTCTCTTATAGGCCAAGCTATGAACAAGTTGGAGCATGCATTAAAGTTTCGTTTAGGAAAAATGTGTTATTATTTTATAAAATATTTTTATATTATCAAAAATTTTAATATAATTTAAAAAATTTATATTAAAAATTAATTTACAAATAAGAAGAAAGTCATCTTAAATTTTTATATTATCAAAAATTTATATAATTTATTGCTTTCTAATTTAAAATTTTTGTGAATTATTTTTTTTTAAACAATGGGTTTAAAAAATAATAAAAAACCCATCTCAAAGGAGGCCTAATTCTCTTAAGCTCAATATGATTAAATATATTTTTATTAAATAAAAATAATATTGTTGAACAAAGAAATGATTCTTCATTTGTTTCATAAATTTTTTTCTTATAAAATATTTATTTAACTTATTTAATAAGATTAAGAAATATGTGTGTATTTCTCTTATAGGCGAAGCTACAAGACAAGTGGGAGCACATGCAGGCCTATATTCTCTCCCCCCATTTCATATTAATTAGAATTAAATTTATATTTAATATCTTAATGACTCATTAATTATCAATAACTCTCTTTTAAATATATTAAATATTCTAATAATAACCTGTCCAGATGGTTAACAGACCCTGCCCCAAATTAGAATGTTTTACTTTAATTTTCTAAATTTATTTATTTATTTAAAGCCCAACACCTCTCTGTCCCTCTTTTTTCGCACGTTTTCTTCCCTTAATTTCTCTCTCTCCGTCGCTTTCGCCGCAGTACAAAGTGTCCAACTCCCTTCTAACTTCTCCAATTTCCATCCCCACCACAAAACATCTTCAGATTTACATCCCAACCCCTGGATCTCCTGTCTTTATATTCCACAGCAACCAGCTCCAAAATCTCACAAACTGAAAACAATGGATTCACTGCTCCATGACTGGCCTGAACCGGTGGTCGCCGTTCAATCCATCGCCGAGAGCGGCTCCACATTAATCCCCAATAAGTACGTGAAACCAGCCGCCGACCGCCCCACGGTGCCCGGATCATCGGCGGGTCGTGAACTGAGTATCCCGATTATCGATCTCGGGAAACTGGCGGGGGGAGTCGTTGATTGCCGCGCCGTGATTCGTGCAATCTCTGATGCTTGTCGTGATTGGGGATTCTTCCAGGTGGTTAACCATGGCGTTGATATGGAAGTGGTTAGAGCGGTGCTGGGGGTATGGAGAGAGTTTTTTAAACTTCCAATGGAGGAGAAGAAGAAGTTGGCTAATTCGCCGAGGACTTATGAGGGTTATGGAAGCAGGCTTGGTGTTGAGAAGGATTCGTCTCTCGACTGGGGTGATTATTTCTACCTTCATCTTCTGCCACACTGTATTAAGAACTTTGATAAGTGGCCAACGGTTCCTGGTGCTTGCAGGTATATATTTTGCTTCCTCTATCACGAATAGTGATTGTTATATATATCATTCCTTTTTTTATCACTTGAGATATTATTATGTGAGGACGCCGAACGCAGCTCATTATCTGGAGGCCAATTAAAATTTGTCATGTCAGTGGTATCGGTATCAGTACCGAGCCATGTATCGAGCAGTGGACGACATGGCACATTTTGGCAGATCTCTAGATGGCGGCATCCGCACAAAATAATTTGCCCACTTATGAAAGGGAGAAATTATTGCGTGTGTTGTCCGTAAAACTAATCAAAATAGGTTACATCGTCTATACAAAATGTATAATTTTACACAGTCTATATAGAAATTATACACAAATTCTGTACATATAGTGTGACCTATTTTGATTGAAGTTCGGACGCAAGGAATATAAAATTTGACTTTATATTTTATTAAAGGTTTGTTTTATTTTGATCAAAATGTTTTAGAAAGATGGAGTTTCGTTCATTTCAAGTGTGCAATACAAGTTGGATGAATTGAATTTAATTGATTCATTATTATTTTTCAAGTATTCAGATTCTGAAAGTTGCTACTTTACTCAAGCAACTCATTTTTAAGATAAATTGTAAAATTTTATCGTGCTTAATTGCAGAGAATTCGAACCCTAGCTACTTTGATAGGTTTTAATGTATTATAAAAAGGAGAGCCATATGAGAATCAGCCTTCACATCTTTTTATATAAAAATGATAAAATAAGGGAATAGCTATCCACCATTAATTCTTATTTACTACATGCTTATCCTTTCGGGCGTTATAATAGTTTTAATGCATGAGAAATATTGGAAAAATTATTACGTGAGAAGATAAATTGAGATGCGCCATGTCATTCATACGGCTGAGTATATTCAGGTGATGTGATGCATCCGAATTCGCCTCTGAACGATCCGGAAACCATATACATAATAATCTCTCGAAATATTATCAGCTTCACATGAAATAACGTTGAGATTCATCTTCTTATGTTATATTTTGATGATAAATGCTAGAATTTAACTTAGAAAAACAATTTTTTTTCTTAATAAGTTGGAATATTTGTGCTATATGATTATAGGGAAATTACCGAGGAGTATGGAAGACAGATGGTTAACTTATGTGAAACAGTGATGAAGGTGTTATCAATGAGCCTGGGATTTGACGTAGGGTTTCTGAAGGAGAAGTTTGGAGGAGAAGAGATTGGAGCCTGCATGAGGGTTAACTACTATCCTACATGCCCACAACCCGAACTAACCCTCGGGCTGTCAGCCCACTCTGACCCGGGTGGGCTCACTGTCCTCCTCGCCGACGACCGGGTTCCCGGGCTTCAGGTGCGCAAGGGGAACGACTGGGTCACCGTCAACCCGATCCCGGGTGCTCTCATCATCAATGTTGGAGATCAGATTCAGGTTAATACCATCATCACCCACACAAATCTTATATGAAGTTCTTCTTCTTTTATAACTGTCATTTGTCTCTACTTTAGTTGGTCGAGGGCTTTGCCTAAAGATTCAATGCATTATTTCTTCGTATATTAAAATTCATAAAAGAGATTCTTTACAGAAATTTACAGAAATTATTCTTTACTAGCTATCACATTGAGATAAATCTCAATAATCACTGTATTGTTTCATGCATATACATATAAAATTATTTGTACAATTTTTGTCCCATTTCATATGTCTATTTTGTGCTTAACTTTTTTTTAGAATTTTTAGGTCAATTAAAATAAATTTACACACATCACATACGTAAAATTTGAACTTAAAACCTCTTAATTGGAAGCTAATGTTAGAAATTATATATGTAGCTTGTCCCTCATAACTACGCTTTCAGTTCTTGAAATTAACTAAGGCTTCTTTTAGTTAGCCGATGCTTTTTATAGAAAGTAGTTTTAAAAACTTTGGCCTAAACCCTAATGGAGAAGCTAATACTAAATTTTTTTTTAAAACAGTACAAAAATGAAGTTATGTAAAAAATCAATTTTATAAAAATATCACATATAAATAACAACCTAAAAATAATTTTGACCTTTTCAATCAGAAAAAGCAAAATTTAGCTGTCTCAAAGGAGGCCTAAGTAGTATGTCAGCATGATGAATGACGTTAATTGCTGTAATAGTACCCACAAATATTTACACATAAAGTCAACACATTTTATATATTTGCACAAGTTATATATTTAGTTTGAGTTTAAAAAAACATTTAATAAGTCTTAAATGCATGTGACATCAGATATAATGGCCGCCCAATGTGAGAACTCTTATAAATAGAAAACAAAATATTTTTTTTATAAAAAAGATTCTATTTTTTCAAGAAATAAGCAATCTTCCGTTCCTCTCATAGTCAACTCCACGTGATATGCTGCCGAGATTTTTCAGTTCAGTTTAGATCTAGAAAATTTCTTGTGCTTATTCTGAAAAAAATGCGATCTTTTTTGTAGGGTTAAGCTCATAAAGAAATTCTTTTTCGTGCATGTGATGAATTAGAATATGAATAGGGATAAATTCTTCTAATAATATAGACAACTCATCTTTCGGAAAAAATATTAGGTGCGGAGTTTGCACCGTCCCCATAAATATGAGTACCTAGCGTTACCCAGCGGTACCGAGTGCCGGTACCTAGTGCAGAATAAGACTTGTGCGGACGTTTCTCCCCATCCGTACTCCGCACCTGATAATCTCTCCTTCTTTCGTGCCTATCGATCCTATTTCCTTCCATTATTACAAATTAATTTGTATTATAAAATTGATTTGCTACCCCAAGGTTTTAAGTATTTTTCCTTTGCATGGAAAATATTTGCATGAGAAACTAAGTAAATTCTAGTGATTTGACCCAACAATGGAAGCATCTGTGTGGATGAAACTGCGAGGTATGAGCTTTAATTAAGGATCTCTGTCGATGGCCCACGCCCAAATGCATGGAGAGATCAGCATTAAGTAAGACAAATAAAGTAATAAGCAGCTCATTTTGATATATTAGTTGAGAGTTTTGATATTATTTATATGACTATTACAAAGTTTATTTTTCTTCATCATGCTCAAATAAAAAAAAATTGTAACAAAACTGATTGTATTTACTTTGAATGCATTTCATATAAATTTAACTAAACATACGAAGTTAACATGCCACAGGTATTGAGCAATGCAACATACAAGAGTGTGGAACACAGAGTGGTGGTTAATGAAGCCGAAGAGCGATTGTCGATCGCTTTCTTCTACAATCCAAAGAGCGATCTTCCATTAGAGCCTGTGAAGGAGCTCATAACACAGGATAGACCACAGCTTTACAGGGCAATGACATTTAATGAGTACAGGCTCTATATAAGGAAGAAAGGCCCAAGTGGGAAGACACAGGTCGAGTCTCTAAAAGCCATGTAATGAATAATATTGATATGCCACTCATCTTGATCTATTGATTGATAGCTTTGGCTACTAATCAAGAGGCCTTGTGTTTGAAGCTTAAGTATATGATGTATGTATATGCTTGATTTGGCCTAAATCTCCCTAAAAAAATATTGACATGTGTTGAAACTTGTTATATGTGCCTATCATTCAGTACTTTTTTAATGTGATAAATATTTCACTATATTTGTGTAACATCATGGGGTATTATTGTTGTACTTTTTGAAGCTCCTATTGCATATTTTTAGTTATTATTATGCAAGCTTTCGGATATCATTTTATGTTCTTTCTTCATGTTTGATATACTGCTTAAAGTTATTATTTATTCTTAATTTTTCATATGTGTAAGTAATTGAATTTAACGTGGAATTGTGACAACTATTTAGATCCATATAATACAATATATAATAAAGTCTGAAAGTAAAAAACTAAACTTATAAAAAAGCAACAAAATAATTTTGTGATAATTGTTGCGTCCTGGAGTATTCGCGGCGGTAGAGAAATATTTAGTTTAACGTCTTAGCGTTGTACGAAAATCCGGCACGCAATCAGATAAGAAGAGAGGGTCTAGCATTTATGAGACACCAAGATGTGATGACGTATCAATAATAATAGGGCAATGTTCTTAAGGTTAGCCCCAGAGAAAATAAACTATTTACGAATAAACTATTTTAAGAATATATATAAATTTCTTTCAAAGTTAAACTATTAGAAAGATTATAAAATATTTCAACAAGCTACAAATTACATGATCTTTCAATCATATAATTATTAACATTATCTAATTTATTTGTGTTAAAGTATTAAATTCACATCTACCACTTATTCAAGTTGAGTGCTGCTACATGTGGTGACAGCTCTAGTTTATTCAAGAATTTTCTTTCTCACATATTTTTGATAATGTTAATCTTAGGCTACCTCTTTATCCTTTTTTTGACTTTTAAATTAATTATAATCATCCATCTTAATGTGCATCTTAATCTTTTTCTCAATAAAAAAACACAATATTTTCATGATTTGGATGAAAATACAAAAATGAGCCTTAGTCCCAAAAAAAAAGAGGTAATGGATAAAAAAAGAAAAAAATAATTAACCAAAAATAAAAATATTCAATCATAGCTTGTCTCCCACTCAGAAAGTCCACTATAATAATAAAAGCTAGCAAAGGCCATAGTGATATGTGGGCTCTTCTCATAAAGCTTCTTCTTTCTTCTTCAAACACATCATTTCAAAGAAGGTATAGTAAAATAAGCAACTTTCTTATATAGACCGTGATGGAGGAAATATAGATTAGTCGGTTTATTGGGCTCTTCAATTTTACAACTTGAAGAAGAATTAATAACCAACGTGGATGAGAGCAATGAAAATGTAGCATTGGTTTAAGGTTTTGTCAGAAAAAAAAATTTCTTACTGTTTTATAAATCAACTTTTTAGTTACAATTTTTTTTACTAAAAATATTGTACACAAAAGTGTTTTAAAAAGCAGTAAGAATGTTGTCCCAAACAAAGCCTAAAACCAGCACAAGACAACTGTTTAAAAGGAGGAAGAATCTTCAAGCATATAATTATGTGGTTGTTAATGTTTTGTGCACCTTTTGGCATATTTTATACAAACTTGAATGTCATGCTTAGCAACTGATATTTAGAATGAAAGCTTTCTTCCAAAACTTACTTTTTGCTAAAGGGCATTGTCTTGAGAACTAATCTAAATGGCTTTTGGGAATCTTTGAAAAATATTGATGTCCAATAGAATTTAGAAATTGACCATTTTAAAATAGAAGCAATATGTTTATCCACATCCAAAAGGTTCCCAAATTAGTTTCCTAATTGATGAAGAATATATTTGTTAAATATGTGGGCCCTTAAATATGACAAAAGGTGCTTCATGAAGATAGATATGGTGTAATGAGATAACTATCGTAGCTAAATATGGCAATCTAAATAAAGGTAATGAGATATTTGTTTGAAAACCCGAAGTAATGAGATAACTTTCGTAGCTTCACTAAAATAAATCATCATCCAATACTAATTTATTCATGAAGATAGATATGCAATCTTAAATTCAAGCAAAGTATAGGAGTATACATTTTGGGCTGAACAATGATACAAAAAATTTCAATAAAGTACATAGCTTGAAAAATGGACATAATAGATTGAATAGGTCTATTGATCATGAACTTTTCTCCCAAAGCAAATTTCAATGGTTGCAATAATCATGAAAATAGTAATTACGAATAAAAGAGCATATTCACCTTGATATTAAAGCTATGATAGAAGTTATTGATTGCTGGAATAAGTTATTGGTGTATTGTCATTTATTGAATCCAGTAAAGGTAATGAGCACTTGAAGACAATATCATTGAGGATCCTATAATGATAGCATATATAACTTGATGAGGCAAAAATGTCAAATGACTAATGCATATACTAGTAAATAAAGGACTAGGGGGACTCACTTGGGCAATAACCAAGAGAATCGCCACAATAGCCACTCAATGTGATAGATGTTATGATTTGACAAAGTGGAGAATGAGGCTAATTGGTAGATAAGCAAGCCTTAAAAAGTGCCACATAAAGGATATTTCAATGCATCTTGTGAGACAATCTTGGTAGCTAACCATGACTAAACTTGTGGTTGAAGAGATAGAATATAAAATAAAAGAGAAGATCATTGAGGGGCCTTCAAACTAGCCCATGCTAGCAGTTCCTAAGAAAAACACTGTGTTGGTCAAATATATGGATGGGTGGTGATACGAGTGAGAAAAAGGTTAATGTTAAGTTTTTTTTTTGTGATCGAGGATAGAGAGATGTATTGAGAACCTAAAGCAGCAAAGTCAGAGGTGATTTATAAGTCATGGCTAGACCATTTTAGATTTAGAAGCCTAGCAGTGAAGCTAAGGCAATGATGATGAGAATGAGCTTTTTTGAGATAGGTGGAATGAATTTATATGATTGACTTGACTAGTCTATATATGTATAAGTTGTGATACATCAACTATGTCATAAAAATAGAATCCAAGGTAGAAGGTTTTTAAAAAAGAGAATATAAATGAATTGATTTAACTAATTGAGTGATAAAAAATGGATTCCTCTAGAAAATTGTTCAACAAGAAAAGTCTCCCACTTAAATCTTTGACTTGCAATTCATAGAGCATGCTGAAGTTACTGTCATAAGATGGATTATACCAGGATAAGTACTATTTAACTATTTGATGAGCATTATAGGATTAATATCATTACTAAGTATTTGACGATTAGGATCATTTGTCGAGTGATCAGAATAGTGCTACTAACCAGCTAATAGCAAACAAGACGTATATTAAAATTGATATATTTAAATGGGTTCAAATGATATATTTATTTATATCTAAGATAGAAAATATATTTATAAAATATTAAAAAGATGAAGATGATGTTGTGAGTGACCAAGAAATGGAAATATCTCAACTTATTCAATTAAGCTTGGTTGATATCAATAAAAACTACACAACCACATCACATGCTAAGTGGGCCTCTTTTCCAACCCACGGATAATATTTGCTTCATAGTGGAAAGTTGAAAAATTGGCTACTATATTTATATATAGGAATTGGGAATCTAAGAAAGGATAATAGGAACCCGTTTCAAACAGGCTGCCCAATCTAAAAAGGTCAGATCGTTACGTGGCAATGGGGTATTGGCAACAAATTTTCAACTCCAACTTTGGGGCCCGCAGCCACAAATAGGTACCACATTATGATGATAGTGGATTGTGATAGGCTCTCTGTTCTAATCCTATAAAACACGTGGTCGAGTTGGGGCTGGGGTCCACCCACTGAGCACGTGCCAGTTGAGGCTGCTCTACCTATTGATTCATGGGTCCCACAACAGCGTGAATAGGGAAAATGGGAATAACCTTGTAGGTTCTAGATGGCTGATCTTCCGGTAATTCTCCATTTTATTTTTTGGGCAGCTGAGGGCTTTTTTTTTTTCTTTTTTTTTTATTTTATTTTTTTGGGCAGCTAAGGGCATTGAATGCGGATTATATGGGACATAAACTCTTTTTTTTAGAAATTATTCTGTGCAGACATTTGATGATTCAAAGGCCAATTAAAATTCACAATGTCATTTGGTGCACAACGGTAGTTAACACTGGTATCGAGCCAAAAAGTGACGTGGTGCATTCTGATTAGCCTCCTAACGACATCTGGTGTCTGCATAGAATAATTTATCCCGTAAACGAGCCACAACTCGATCCGCCAATTCTCCACTTTAATTATCTTCTTCTAGGAAAAATATTTAATTTAAGTAAAAATTGTTTGCTATTTTTGGCATCCTCTTCTTAGAGATGTAAACAAGTCGAGTTAAGTTGAGCTTGAATTGAAGCTTGGCTTGATTAATTAATCGAGCTCAAATTCGAGCTTAATTAGAATATAAATATAAATAATTGCTTGATATAAAAAAATGAAATTTATTTTTGAAATATTTATGATAGTTTTGTACAAGAACTCGTGAATCATAGTATATTTTAAGTGTATTTTATAATAATATTTTTAAAAGAGCCGGTTTGTGAGCTAAAAAGTTGAGAATTGGCAACTCGTGAACTCGTCAAAGCGCACTACTTCAAAAAAAAATGTATTTCATATATTTGAATTTTTACATTGTGTACCAGAGTACCTCTATGCTCCAAAGTTTGCTATATGAAATTAAACAACATAGAGCAAAACTTCTCAGGGCTCTAGATTTGGCATCGCAGTACTGCTTTGTAGAGTTGTAACTTTATGGGTAAATTTGAGCGCCGCAGAATCATGATGACCAAGGCTTGAGCGTTGCAACGCTCCAATCGTTGCCATAACACTGCGAGGTTTTATTTGGGATAGTTTAATTTCTTACTACTTTGCTTCTTAAACTGCAACCGTAGTTCCTATTTGGTTATTATTATTTCACTACATTTAAGAAATTCCTATATATGCCAAGTAGTTACTTTTACAACAACTTCAAAAAAAGTTGATTGTTCCACAACAGCTTAATAATCATCTTTAAAAAAATAATATAGCCGTTCTAAACGGACACTAAATCATAAATTATTACTCTTTTCTTCATAAATGCAAAATCTATTTGAATGAAAAGCACGTTAGAATGTAAACATCT